TTATTTGTTAATTTAGGCTGAGTAAGCCACTAGTAATTTATTTGTCGGGTATCCCATCCATATTTAAGGGCGTGATATGCTAGTTTCTTCTTCTGGCAGTTGCGTAGTACTTTCGTTTCTATTTATATATTAACTTTGATTTTTACACATAATTTTAAAGAATTTTTTTATATAGTATCATTATATTACTATAAATAGTAATTAAAATTTTTTATTGAATAAAAATTACATCTTCCATACAATTTAAATTGCCTTAATTTAATTTTTTTGACTTTTTTGAATATCAATTTTAAATAAAAGTTTAACAAATTATGTGAATAACAGCTAAAAACTTTATATATATATATATAGTTCTTGCTCCGTTATTTCATTTAATAAATTTTTTTTTTCAATTTCATATGAAATTAATATTCTAAAAATTAAAAAATCAAATTAAGTCAAATAAAGTTAAATGGAGGTAGTATATATTGTACAAAATTTCAATTGTCATTTATATGTTACTTCTTCCATTTAACTTTAGTTTGTACTATAATTTTTTTTCCAATAAAATAGGAAGGGATAATTAATTAATTAATAAAATTTTGTATTTATCATTAATTAATCATAACTTAATAAGATAATATATGAATAAAGGCATTAAATAATATCTAAAAAAGGAAAAAGTTGACAACTAATTTTGACTCACTCCAAAGTAGAAACTACTCCCTTTGTCTCAAAATGATTGTTGCTTTTATATTGTTTTCTGCATTAAAGATTAGAGACGTACAATTCATATGTTTACTTATATTACTTTTTAAAAAATAAAAGATGAAGATAGACCTTTTAAGCTATAAAAATTAATTAAAATAAATAAATAATAGGGTTAATTTAGGATAAAAATATTTATTTATCTTAAAAAATAAAATATAACAATTAATTTAAGATAAATTTAAAATAAAATAGATAGTTATTTTGAAATAGAAAAAATAAAATAAATAAAGTTGAATGAAGAGAATATACAATATTATTATGGCTATGGTTATGGGCCTTATGGCCACCATTTAATTTTTTAAGACTACTAATAATTGTCAAATTTGTATTTTAATTTGATTGTTAAAAATTAATAATAATTGATAAAATAGTTAATATTTATTATTTAATATATTAAAATTAATTTATAAATAAAATTTTTTTAAACATCATAACTAATTATTTAAAAATAATTATAAATGAATAAAATTACAATTAAATTGATAATTTTATCAAATTAAATAGTAATAATAATATCGACCTATTATTGCTGGACGGATAAAATTAAACTAAAAAATGATATTTAGTATAGTAAATTTTTTAATGCTCCCCCTGCTGACTTTTTATTATAACTCAGAAACCATATGAAAGTTTTCATTTTTTCTCCTGTTAATACCATGGAAGTTCATGTACTTCAAATTTGTTCCATATCGTTCTTATATATTATTTAGATAATGATTGGTATACACTCCAATTTAACATATTGTATGACACATTCACTAAAAAAATATTATTTTTTAGTCTAAAATTAAAGACATATAAGTTTAATAATATAATTATGCATACAGAATACAAGAATCGATTGAATTGACTGTATTTTTATTATATTTTTAATGACTATACAAAAAATTTGTAAAAAAATGTGTTGAATCGAGAGTATACCAATCTTTTTTCATATTATTTTTGTTCATTATCTTTCTTTCAATATCCTCTTTTACTTAATTTGAAGATGTTTGAATTAATTGTTTTAATATAACAAATAATTAATAATTAACATTCAATAACTATTAACTATTATTATTTATAATTTAACATGTATATAAATCGTTAGATTAGAACCACTAATTAATAATTATTCCTCTACCACTAAACTTTACACTCCATTTGTATGATAACATTTTTCTACTCCATATTTTATCTCGTTTTTGTTCTTAAATTAATGGCATTAATACCACGTCACCAAACTCCATTAACTTCACTATTAAATCTATTTTTTTATTTTTAATTAATTTCTCTCTTTATATATTTTTCTTCCTTCATACTCATGGAATCCACCTCATACATTTCCCCATTTCTCTTTTTTCACCAAGAAAAATTTTAAATCATTCATAAAAAAAAAAAAAAAAAAAAAAAAGAGAAGAAAAGGAGGAAGGGTGTGGGTCTCAAGGGAAGGAAAATGAAAAAAAAATAGAGAAATTAATTGAAAACAATAATAGTTAGAACTTAGATTTCACGGTCAAATTAATGGGGCTTGATGGTTTCACATTACTGTCATTATTCTCTTTTCTTTTCTTTTTTAATCTTGAGCTGCATAATCGAAATTAATTCTCTTTTATTTGTTAATTCATTATACTCATATGATACGAGAGTTAAATTTAAAATCTCATATTTTTAATGAAAGAAAATTATCATTTAATTATTTAAGTTTTCGATATTAATGTTTTTAAATCAATAAGAACAACAAATATAAAAAGAGAATAGAAGGATGTTAACTGACCAAAAAAAAGAAAACAGAAGAAAAAGAAAAGAAAATAGAAGGATTAAACAAAAGCAATGGTTTTTGATGATTTTACATTAAGAGCATGTACAATGGAGGTTCCTCTCATTGTTTTTTTTCTTCTTTTTTTTTTTCTTTTTTTTCAAAACAGAATAGACACAAAACTCTTTTCCATTGAAGCCAAGTTATAAAATCGAGCTTATTCCATTAGCTGGACCTTTTAGTACGGCTACCTTGTTACAACTTCACTCCAATCACCAACCCTGCCTTCAGCAACCCCCTCTTTGTGGTTAAGGTAACGACTTTTGGACATGGCCAACTCCCACAGTGTGACGGGCGATATGTGTACAAGGCCTGGGAATGAATGTATCATCGTGTGGCTGACTATCAAGTTTTAGCGATTCCAACTTTATGCAGGCTTTGCAACCATTTGTTTCATCCAACGGCTTTCCAGTCGTTGGATCAAAAGGTTTTCCTTTTTTATTAAAAAAAATTTCAATTCAATTTTTTTATTTGAATAATATAAAATGTGAGTTAAATAAAGTAGTGTTGGTGTGATTTTTAAAGAAATTCTATACATCAAAGAAACGATGTTCTGTTGTGTGTTTTATAAGGGTAAAATATATAAAATATGAGTTTATATACAATAATAATAATAATAGTATTGTAAAATAAAGAAAAAATCAATTAAAGAAAGAAAAAAAATTAGAGAGACAAAGTGATGCAATGAAAAGTTATATTATATTATATTTCTATTTCTTTTTTCTCCATACATTTCCTAGAGTACAAGTCTTATATATAGGGGCCAATAAAGGATAAGAGTTATAAGGAATTAACATTCACTAAATAGAAGTTTACAAGAATTAATCTTTTACTAATGGAGGGGTTAAAAGAAATATCATTATTACCATCTAAATTCATGGCATTATAGAGTGTTAATCACTATTGTAATTGCATAGAAGTAGTAAAAGTTACATCATTATTTGTTGTGTAAATGTCATGAAAAGTGGAGAGGTGAGAAGATAAAAAAAGTGAGATATCTACAATGAATTGATTCATGACAAATTGTGAAAATATAATACCAACGTGAGTTTTTTTTTTATTATTTGTCATTATACATACTCTTAACGTAGTTAAATTAAGGAAAAACTGAATACAAAACATTGAGTAGAAGGATGTTAGCTGAAAAGAAAAAGGAAAAGAAAATAGAAGGATAATAATAAACAAAACCAATGTACAAGGTTGAAAACGAATAAATTTTCAAAATATAGTGACTTCGATTGACTTTAACACTTTTGCTATCTCCTAATAAAAATTTGGTTAAATCCCCATTTTGGTTCCTGAACTATTGTATAGACCCCGATTTGGTCCCTAAACTAAAGAAATCCCTGGTTTAGTCCTTAAACTATTGTACGGACCCTGATTTGGTCCCCACTGTTTATAATTTGGCCTAAGTTGGTCCTTAAACTATTGTACAGACCCCCAATTTGGTCCTTACTGTTTACAATTTCGCTCCAATTTGGTCCTTGAACTATTATTTAACAGAAAGACCAAGTTGGGGTTAAATTGGTAAACAGTAATGACCAAATTAGACATCCGTACAATAGTTCATGGACTAACTTGGGAGTCCGTACCATAGTTTAGGGATCAACTCAGGGTTTCGTACAATAGTTCAAGGACCAAATTAGAGATTTCTTTAGTTCAGGGACCAAAATAAGGGTTTAACCTAAAAATTTCCACCAACCAGGAGAGACAACAAAATGCAGTCATACGAAATATCCTCAATACGGCACCAAAATAACCCGCCAATGCCATATCCGTACCGCACAGGACGTAACCGGTGAATCGGTGATCATCCGGTAACAGGTTAAGAAATTAATAAAGCAAAAACATTCTACAGTTCCACTGCAATGAGCGTCCCGCTATCCCATTATAGCGATTGGCCAGGCAGAGGCAACCTCACTCATTCTCCAACTTCCCAAACAACCCAAACGATGCATCCTCTCCGCCCTCTGCAACCTTAATCCGCCATTAACGCCGATGAAAGGTAACTTTGCCTTCTCTTGTTGTTTTTTAAAAGAGTTTTATTTTATTTTATTTTTTGGTTTTTTAAGTTACTGTGAAGTCATTTTGACTAAATTTCTCAACAGATAATCTCCGATCGAACAGAGAATCTCCGATCGTGCAATTAAGGAGGGATTAAAGCGCCATAGCAGATATCGATCAGTTGTTTCGTTTTCCGAGCTTTTGAGGTCTGAATCAACCACTGATTCTCAGATTTCAGTAATCTAAATTTGCCTCTGTACGGTATTGTAATCTCGCCTCTACCCCTGCCAATCTCTTCATTGGTTCAATTTCACTCTGTCAATCCGTCTGAAATGTAGTTTATCTTTCAGAGAAGAAATAATTTATCGGGAATTGGAGAATGTTGACGTGCATAGCTCGTTCTAAACAAGCCGGCGATGACTCCTTCAGTCAGCTGGAGGAATTGGACTCTTCCGCCACAGCAGGAGCCAAAAATCAAGCTATGAAATCTCTTACTTCTCAGGTAATTCTAATCTTAATACGTTTCCTGTTCTACGGTTTTGTTCGGCTAGCTTGAATAGGTGGTGATTTCGATCTTAATTTCAGTTGAAGGACATGGCGCTGAAGGCGTCGGGGGCGTACAGACACTGCACTCCGTGCACGGCGCAGAGCCGATTCCAGAACCAAGGGGAATCAGACGCGGATTCCGACCGGTTCAGGTGGTCGTATCGTCGGACAGGGAGTTCAAGCTCCGGGACGCAGAGGATGTGGGGGAAAGAAATGGAGGCGAGGCTGAAGGGGATATCGAGCTCGAGCGGAGAGGCGACGCCGAAATCGATGAGCGGGCGCCGAGCCGAACCGATCGTGTTCGTGGAAGAGAGGGAACCTAAGCAATGGGTGGCGCAGGTGGAGCCTGGGGTGCTAATCACGTTCGTTTCGCTTCCGCGTGGCGGCAACGATCTCAAGCGGATTCGCTTCAGGTACGCGTTCATTCCCTGATTTGATCCTTTTTTCCATCCTTTGGATTCTAATCAGACGGTTAGGAGGATTTTAGTATATTAATCACAAATTTGCTTGACACGTCAGTTTCTTAGCGTTCAGGATTTTCCTTTACCTTTCACCATCTTTTGCTTTGTTTTTTTATTATTTTATTTATGTGCTAGAGTTAGGTGCGTATAGACTTAGGATGCCCACTTTAGAGCGGTAAATGCACATAAATCCCCATTGCAGTCTGTTTTGAAAAATTAGAACGCCTTTTGGTATCAGGTGTCTGTTGTTAGATTTTATTATGTAAATCATTTTCTTATTACAACATATATCAGAATCATGATCTGATGTCTACCATTAAAGTTTTAAGGAACTTTAAGGTTTTGGTTAAGATGTATTGATAAATAAGAATAAGTGTTTTTTTATAGAAATTAGTTTTTCAAGGTCAAAATAAGGGATGTCTTTATAATCTTTTTGTAAAAAGATTAATTTTGAATTGCGTACAAGATAGTTTGAGAGCATTATGATTGTCTAAGTGAAAAAAAAAGAAAAGTGAAAGCTTTGAAGTTATTCCAGGCAAATTTTTGTAAACTCAATCACGGACTTTTAATAAAATTGAAATTTGGTAATTTTTTACTCTAAAGAATGAAAATTTTTGAGTTCTACTATTTTTCTATGGTTTTGCAAGTAACGAAATTGGTTGGAAATGAATTTTCCTATGGTGAGATGTGAAACGAGTGATTTCGGGTGAGGGGCCTACAGGGAATGGTAGGCATCACGCCTACTGAAAAAAGCAGTCCTAGTTAAAGTCCAAAGGGGGAACTCATTGTGCCTCACAGTGGTGGTGGGGCATGATTGATTGTGTTGGATAGCTTTTCCCTGAGGCTTGTCGCTGTGTCGGGGAGTGCTGTGCCCATTGGCCATTTCTTTTCATTCAAAATTTCCCCTCACGCCTGATTCCCCGTTGCCTTGTCGTTCTTGTGACTTTCTGGTCATTTTGTCCGCTCTTAGCTAAAATGCCCCGTCATCTGCAACTCTAGAAACATTATACAAGACAAAATATACACTATCTAAATCTATTTTTTGGCGACAAGTTAGGAACCAACTCCAAGCTCATTAACTTTCGATGTCTTCCAAGGAAAGTGACTGGAGAGGGGATTGCCGTTTGAACGGGGGAACATTTTTTCTGGCTCTCCTTTATCACAGCGGAAACATTTGACTCCTTTTTTTTTTTTTTTCTGTTCATAATTCACGTCAATTTGATAATTGTCTCTCCTGCGTTGAACTACTACTATTTGGATTAGAAATTTAGAATGGGTATATTTTATTAATAAAGCAACTAATTATTTTAGTCCCTTCTTACCTTTTAGGAGACTAGTGATCCCTTACTTCAACCTCAATGATTGCATAAGGAAAATAATATTATGTTCCACACCGATGCTGAGAAATTCCTCTGGTCAAAAGGTGTTTTTTAGAGACTAAGTTACTGGGCTAACATATTGAAAAAATCCATTGATTGTCCCAACCTAATAATGAAATTGATGGGGGTTTTCAAACAATATGCACATGACAAGGTCAGTGGCATGGCGTAACTTGATGATCATAACTTGTGAAATTTAACTTCAATTTCACTCTTTTGCAAAAATGTCGATAATCTTAGTTGAATAGAGATTTTGTGTAAATAAAGATAAAACCTCTCAAAACTTTTGTAATTAAGGATATGATATTTTTTCTTTACCAGTCAAGCTACCAACTTTTAGAAGTTCTAATCAAGGATATGCCATTTGTGATTTTACGATGGATTAAATAGATGTGTGTAGTCATATCTTTGATTGGAAACGTTTGAAAGGTGGTACCCTCAATTAGTAAAATTGCAAATGTTATATCTTTAATAGAAAAGTTTTAAAAGGTTGTGTCTCTATTTATATGAAATCTCCATTTGAATAATTTTGACAAAATTGTGATTTATTGATGTCTATGATGCATTCCACTATGTGTCCATATTTCGTTTGGTGCTTTACCTTGAGACATGATACATCCCACTAATTTCCTACTGCTGGTTTGTTAACCTCATGAAAATCAAGAGTGCTGAAATGTAGTTCATCTCCTTTTGAATAGTCGAGAGATGTTTAACAAATGGCAAGCTCAAAGATGGTGGGCGGAGAACTATGACAGGGTTATGGAACTTTACAATGTCCAGAGGTTTAACCGACAAGCCTTCCCACTTCCAACACCACCAAGATCCGAGGATGAGGTAAGCTCATGCAATACTAATAGTACCATATAGTTCTTAATTTTGATGAGTCAGCTTGCAAAGCCTCCTGTCTAACTACTGTCTACCACTTAGAATTCTGTCCCAAGGGTGTTCCATCTGATCAACTCCACATACAGGATGGAGGAACGTGAGTGCTAACATATCAGGAACGAGTTTCACCTCCCCATTTTATCCACAGAAACACTTACCATCTGAACTGCACCCAAATCATATGTTTAATTAATCCTTAGTGTTAAAGATATCATCTTTTTACATGTTACAGAGCTCAAAAATGGAATCAGCAGAAGACAGCCCTGTGACACCACCACTAACTAGAGAACGGTTACCTCGTAATTTATATCGTCCCACAGGGCTGGGTATGGGCTACTCATCCTCAGATTCACTTGATCAGCACTCAATGCAAGCACGTCATTATTGTGACTCAGGTCTTGCCTCAACTCCTAAACTTTCAAGTATTAGTGGGGCCAAGACAGAGACATCATCAATGGATGCCTCCATGAGGAGTAGCTCGTCTAGGGAGGCTGATCGCTCAGGAGAACTCTCCATCAGCAATGCCAGTGATCTTGAGAGTGAATGGGTTGAACAGGATGAGCCAGGGGTTTATATCACTATCAGAGCCTTACCAGGGGGCAAAAGAGAGCTCAGGCGAGTTAGATTCAGGTAAAATTCTTTAGAAATTCCACGGTCATATTGATTGGTCTATGAGAAATTGCCAATAAGATGTGTCTTTGCGTGTGTTCTATGATAACCACTAGAAAAACATGCTTGCATAAATTATCTACCCCATTCATGAATAACAGTCCCATTAGAAGGAAGATAACCTTTTGAAGCTTATTGGAAATCATATAACATCTCTAATTGTTAGCAAATAACAGGTTTTAGTTTAATCCTAGTGGTAATGTTAAATAATGTTACAAGCGTCTGATAAAAACTGAATTAGTTTATGCTTCACTTACCTTCTTTATATCCCAAAGCATAATGGTGCAGAATTTTTCCCCTTCTGTTTGTCTTGACTATCAAGTTAAGGCCGTTTGTTGAAGTTAAGGATTAAAGACTCATTAGTAATGTTTTGAAAAGAAAAAGAAAGAAAACTGTTCTCCCATTGATGGGATTTGATTTCAGGCCGATGGGTCCAGTTATTATGTTAATGGTATAATTGATGTCCAACATATTGACTATCATGATTTGGATTACCAACCGGTAGAAACAGACTTATTAACTGTAAATCATTCATGACATCATTACTGAGTCCATTATGCTGTTTCCGTCAATTCTTTTCTCTGCCTGCAAGAAAATCCAGCGCAAACATTTTACCGTGGAGCATAATTATTATTTTTTTCTAATTTATCTTACTTGTTATCCTATTGAGGAATATAATTTTTTTTTGACTTCCAGGACAAATATTATACTTTTTTACTTGCAATTTAATCTCTTTTTTTCCCCAATGGGAAATCATATAATTTTGTTGACTTGCATATATTACGCAGCCGAGAAAAATTTGGAGAGATGCATGCTAGACTGTGGTGGGAAGAGAATCGAGCAAGGATACATGAACAGTACTTATAAACATGCAAACAACATGGATGCCGGTGCTTTGAAGATTGTCGATCGGGGTGTGTATTTTCTCCTCTGTTCTTCCATACACAAGTAGAATCCTGTTCTACAGAGATCTGGAATTGGATAGGTGCGTGCTACCGGTATCAGTTGCTAAATGGGAATTAAGTTTTCCATGGTTCATAATAGCTTATAATATGATGATGAGATATGGGAACTCAAGTACTTATATTTGTAGTTTCTACAGTATTGGTAGGTAAAGAGCATCAATTGTGTATTTGGGTGGTCAAGATATCAAATCAATGAAAAGAATCTATTTTCCCCTTTTTTTCTTAGAACTGTTTCCTTCTGGCATATCCCCTTTGTGAAGACTAAAATGGAGAAAGAAAGAAACCTACCAAATATTAAGTAGCATTAGAATTTTAATTTAATTGTGGTATAGATACGGTATATGCATGTAAAAGATCACCTCATGTACCCTAAAAATTGAAAAAGGATCTTCTCAGGAGTAATAAGACCTCAAAATAAGAGAAGCATTGAGAGAAATGGCTGCGGTAATTGGTTATAAAAAGAACAACGAAAAATTATGGTTTAGGCTGAATTGTATATAACAAATGACTTGAAAAACAATGCAACTGCCATAACTTTTGCCTTTTTTTCTCCGAAAATGATATGGTTTTAAATTTATATTGTTATAGCATGGGCACTGTCTAATTCTTTCAATCACTGTGTTTTTTTTTTTTTTTTTTAAACCACAAAGAATCAAATTGGACTAAATTGAAAATTAGGTTTTTTTTTTTCATGCAAATGGAATTTACATTAATCAAAATTAAGTTTTATAAAATGAAGTCCAATATACACTACAAGCATTTTGATCATGAGAAAAGCAGGACAAACAAAAGGGAGAGACCAAATTAAAATAAACAGAAGTGTTCTCCATGATAACTTAATGCTTAACAAGTGTATTTGTAATTCCATGTGCTTCACGGTCAGTGCGCTGCACACACTCAAATCTATGGATCAGCGATCTGCAATGGGCAACGAGTGCTTCGTGAATTCTATTTAAATCAGAACCAACATTCATTGCATGAACAACAAAGCTGGAATCAGTTTCCACTTCTAATCTTTTAATTCCCATATTCAGAGCTAACTCTAAACCCTGTTTTGACCCCCCATAGCTCGACATCATTATTAGTCCCCCACCCAAGATGTTCGGTAAATCCTGCTACCCAGTTGCCTTCATGATCTCTGATAACTCCACCTGCTCCAACTGAATTATAGGTGGAATAAGAGGAGCCATCAGAGTTTATCTTGAAGCACCAATCTGGGGTAGTGACCATTAGACAGGATCAAAAGAACAAGAAATTGATTTCTTAATTTGCAATTTAGATGAGCAAATTTCAGTAGCAAACCCCATTGCCTTGTGGGCAACTCCCTGGAGATTTGAATTGTTATCAAAATAAGGACGGTTCCTGTCAAGCCACACATGCCAAATAGCTGAACAGAAAAATGCTGCCCAAGGGATATTTGGTTGAGAGAGCCAGGATTTAGAGCTACAGTTAGCCTTAAGCCTGTCATTGTGGCTTAGATTAAAACAGTGTTCAAGATTAGTTGGAATAGGGATGGATTTCCAGAATCTAGAGACAATAGGACAGTCACGAGTTAAATGGAGGGAGACTCAATGGCAGAATGGCGGATGCAGCAGGCACTTGAATTTCTCTGGAGGATAAAAGCAGTCTGGAAGGTATCCTTTCATGAGCAAAAAGCCATAGGAAAAATTGAATTTTGGGAATGGATGGCCTTTTCCACAGCCATTTCCAAGAGCAATCTCTGGACACGGGCAGAATTTGCATTTTTCTCGGTCTAAACTCTTGCAATAAGGTTGGGCTTACGAGCCCAACATCATCTTATTATTAAATCAAAATCAAACTCCAATCTCTTGCGTCATCAATCAGCAACAACAACTAAAAAGAGTATCTTAGCCAGGCAGCAAACTGCAAACTGCAAACTGCCACTCTGTCGCACCTATTTTCCACCCGCACGCGCGCCCCGCTTCCACGTTCCACCCTCATAAGAAAAAACTTCTCCCTTTACCCTTTTTCACCGCCCAAATTGCCTCCACCCCCATCTCCCTCCCTCCTCTCCTCCCTAATAAAAGGCTAAACCCCAAACCCATCAATGTTTATTCATTACCGTACACAAACAGACACACTAATACAGTTCATGCTGAGCAAATTTCTCTTTGTCTCCTTCCCCGTCTTCCTCCCTCACATGGTCCACTTCCCTTCTAATTAATCTCCTCCTCTCTTGCAGCTTTTGACATTCTCCTAGCGGACATAAAGCTCTTCTCCTCCTTAAACTATCCTTTCTTCCCTTTTCCCTCTCCCTTTATAAATCCCCTGCTTCCCTTCCCTCTGTTATCTGTATGTTTTTGTGTGTTCAAACACAAACATGTATCCAAGAGAGAGATCTCTGCACCAAAAGGAGAGTACTTTTGTGAGTCCTGTCCCTCAGAGAAGGAGAACCCCTTCTTTCTCTTCTTCTCTTCTCGACGCCATTTACCGTTCCATTGATGAATCCGATGGTGCTGTGCATGAATCAGTCCCTTGTCATTACAGAGAAACAACCATGATGAAGAAACAGAGCGTTAGTTCCCGTCGAGAGGAACAGAAAGTCTCGAGTCTTGGTCGGGCCATTATGATTGAGAATTGGATGGAGAAGCAGAAGAGTAGTCGTGGGTCTTCGAGTTCATCGGATTCTAGCTCCGGTGTTGTGTTTTCTTCATCGGAAGCAGAGTCGGAGAAACCGAGGAGAAGGGCAGCGCCGGTCAGGCCTAACAGGTGTTTGTTGTTTGATCGGAGAGAAACGAAATTCGATGGGAAACAGCAGAAGCCCCAGAGAGAAGGAGGGCTTACGAAGACGAAGCTGAAAGCTATGAAAATATACGGTGAATTGAAGAAGGTAAAGCAACCCATCTCCCCTGGCGGCCGCATTACCAGCTTCTTGAACTCCATTTTCAACAGCAATGCCAAGAAAGTGAAGATGTGCTCAGTCGGAGCCATGGACGACGTTAACTTTGAACGCAAATCAAAATCTGCTTGCTCCTCGGCAGCTTCACTTTCTCGGTCTTGTCTAAGCAAGTCACCTTCTTCAAGAGGCAATCGGAAGAAAAGATCCGTTAGATTTTACCCAGTTAGTGTCATCGTCGATGAAGAATCCAGACCTTGCGGCCATAAATGCATCAATGAACAAGATCCAAGCTTAATGCCAAGGCGCTCCGTTCATCAAAAGACTGTTAAAACTTCAACCCGGAAAGACGAACCCAAGAATTTCGTCATGGAGAAAGAATCCGTATATCAGAGGCATTATCAGAAGAAAAGCACAAGGGAATTCCATTACCGCTGCAACGATGAAGACGAAGAAGATGATGATGCTAGTTGTTCAAGCTCTGATCTTTTCGAGCTTGATCATTTGATCGGAATTGGAAGGTACCGGGATGAATTACCAGTGTATGAAACTACTAATTTCAGAACCAACCAGGCAATTGCTAATGGATTCATGTTCTAGTCCAATTTTCCTTAAAAAAGGAGGACTTAATCAATGTAATTAGTTTTCTTTTTCTTCTTCTTCTTCATGATGGTGATGGTGATTGATTCTTTCTTGTTATCTCTCTTTATTGAACTTAATTTTGAAATTGATGGTTACCAATATCAAAATCTCAATCTTGAAAGGAAGATCAAATGCTATCCCTTTTTTTTTTTAATGTAACCTACTGTTGTCTTTAAATTGCCTGAATTTAAAAGCATTAGTTTGGAGTAAGGAAAATAAGAATATTATTAATGAATTTTTATGTATTTGTTGTTGAAAAAATGAATTTTTATGCTATTAATATTATAAGTTTACAATTATAAT